ACGCCAATGGAGTTCGGATCGCAGGCAAGAGGTACATTTACTTGTCGGGCAGCGACAATGTGGTTCGCGCCAGGAAGGAGGTTGCTGGCCTGCACTGCGCCAAAACTAGCCAAGGTCTGTTTTATTTCATTTTTTTCATGTCTGCTTTGTCATTGTATGTGTGTGTGTGTGTGTGTTGTTTTCTTTTTGTCGGAATTTGGGCTTGTATTGTACGTGTAATTCATCTGTCGACTTGCTGAAATATTTTGTGCATGATGTGGGGCAAGTCGTTGATTCTGTTCTTGACGAGAATCATTGATTTCTTTTTTTTTTAATTTCGAACATGGTCGGTCACCAAGAAAGGTCCCATTATCATTATAAGAACAAATTGAACCGAAAATTCATAATATGGTTTATAAAAGCGGAACAGACCTCTGGATCTGCCTGACTTTGACTTTCAAATGTATTTTCTCCATTTCAACCTGGATAGCTGAACGATATTCCAACAATTGCAACGTATCATTCGTCTCGTTTTCACCCTTCCCACCAGACTGCTGGCAAAGCTGCGTGTATTGAATCTTAGGGGCATTGTCGATTCCATTTTAGTACAGTATTTTTTGTGTGTGTGTGTGTGTGTTGAATTTGATTCAAGTAGCTGCTATTATTTGTTTTATTCAATTTTAGTGATTGATTGAAAAGGTTGTGATGGACGATGAGAACGAAAGTGTTGCAACTGGAATTGCCTCCCCCCCCTGGAGTCAAAAATCGAATGCGAGCAAAAGATCTCTCGTATCTCCCCCCGTTGGTTATCCTTGTTTTAAAAATAATCCTATCCTCTTGGATAAACTGAAAACTGGCGTCTGGTGCTGAGCAAATAGCAGCAGCAGCAGCGATATGCTCTTCTAGCCGTGCGATAGGAGACTCGTGGATGCAGATGAGGGACGAATTTCTTTCTCTCTCTGACACCTCTCGTAATCTCTCCATTTTTTTTTTTGAATCATGTTCCGTTATGTTCAGTGTGTCTGGGAAATTTGTAGCTCTCATCTTGTACTGTCGAAGCATTTCTAGATTGTAACTTGTGTGTGAAGAGCGTGACGGAATGTTTGAGCTTGTCGGCATAGGAGAGGTGATAGGTTGGTAGTTCAGTACGGTACGGTATTGTTGATACGAAGGATTCAATTTCATTTCGGGAATGGAGGATGGGACCCGATAAATTTCTGTTGATGCTTGAGAAAATTTGAATGAAATTGTGTGATCATTGCGTGGTCGATCTCTCAAGTTTTGAAATGTTGGTTTGAAACCTAAAATAGATGCGTTTGAAGTGAGTAATATTTGAATTTCCGGTATGCACGGCGAAGGAATCACGACGCTTGGAATGATAGGGGGCGGGACATTGAGTTGGTGCTGAGGATTCTGAGACCAAACTCATTTTCAAGAATTTCTTGAAACTTTCCTGTTCCGCCTTCTTTGTCCTTGATGATACTGTACAGTACTTCATTTCTTTGTTTTGGCGCAGTCCAGTGAAATTGCATGGTATTCTTACTCCACACTGACTCTGTCGTCTGCTTGGCAGCAGAAATTTTTTCAATTTTTCCCCATTATTAGACTAAGTATGGTTTTGAACAAGGCTTGAGTCATTGCTAATTTGTGTGTGTGTGTGCGTGTGAGTGGCGATTTTATTGAAGTTTTTCTTGTAATTGATGTGTGAACTGAAGAAATGGCTTCTTAATTTTTGCAGCGGTGATAATCGCGGTGTACGAGGAGCCGATCAAGCCGCAACAAGCTGCGTCGGTCGTCGAGTCGCTAGGGGACTACTTGACCAAGTGCGGTTACTAGGAAGGATTTGTCCGTCTTTTTGCAACGTCGACGTCGTCGTCCCGACTCGACTGTGCGTTTCTCTCTCTCTCTTTCTTTCTTTCCTCATTCTCCCGTCTTGCTTTCTCTTTGTTTCTTTCTTTTATCACCACTCGTTCTTCGTCATCTTCTCCGGACGTCCGCCGACTGAAGCCCCGTCTGTTTTTCTTTGTTTTTTTTGGCTTATTGCACTACTCGTCTTGATGATTTTCTTGAAGAAGAAGCAAAAATACTGCCGCCGCATTTACGAGTATTTCGTGCCGGGCTCTTCTTTTTTCTTGCTCCTGTCTCCGTTTCCTGCTGCAGCGAAAACATTTGTGTAACATTACAACGGCGTGTGTCGAACGTTGGCTCAAAAGAAGAAAGAAGAATGCGGAGGAGATTCAAATTTAGGAGGATCCTTTTTTGTTTCTTGGCTTTGGATTTTGGACGTGCGTTGATTCATTTTTTGCAATATGAGAGCGAAAGAATGAGCGAGCGAGAGAGAGAGAGAAAGGAAAAGAGGTGTGGGGCAAAGTTGAATTTCTCATAAGTGTCGTCTCGAGTTCCAACCAACTTGTTTTGAATTTTAGAGCGATGAAGAAGAAGACGAGTGTGGGGATCCCCTTTTTTTAATATTTATTGCTTCGAGCAAAGGTTTTTTTTTTTCTTCCTCTCTGTGTGTGCGTTGCGTTTTTTTTCACAGGCTCGAGCCTATTGTTGGTCTTTCAGGGACACGCTTGGGAAGGAAGAGAGAGAGAAAAAGTGAGTCTTGTCATAGAAAAGAGAGGAGGTGGAAACAATCTGGAAAAGGAAGGCGGCGTTTCTAGTTTGGTTGTCCCTGAAAGGTCGAGCAGGTCACGATTTTTCCGCTTTTTTGTTTGTTTCGTGGGTGTTTGTGAGTGTGCGTGTGCCAAAATTGTCTGCTTTGTCTGCTGCATTTTTTTTTTTTTTTGTTTTCGCTTTGCGCGAATGAGCGAGACTGACTGACTGCTTGTGTAGGCTCTTTGCAGCCCGGTGTGTGTCAGCCATTTTTTTGATTTCCCTGTACCGCGCGATTTTTCCGTAACCTAGTGAAGAGGGATTTTTAATTCTAAGTTGGTAACGTTTTATTTTTTGTCGATTTGATTGATTGATTGCCGCGTTCCGATCGGAGTTGGTTGGGTCTTCCTTTTTATTTTTCTCGGTTTTTTTTTTCTCTCTCTTTCATGTGATCTTCCAGGCAGTCAAAAAGTGTTTCGTCCAATTTTCTCGCTGTTTTTCGTTTTTTTTTCTAAGTACTGTACTGTCATGTATGTGACTGATGGAGAGGGGAAGAGTTGAGAGAGCAGTATTTCTCTTGAGTCTGGGTAAACGTTTTCGTTTCTCTTGCTGCAAAATTCCTTCTGTCGGTGAAAGAGAGCGGGGAGGGAAGTGAACGATAATCAAGCTTCGTAAAAGGCATGATAAAAGGCTGAGAACAAGTGCGGTGAAAAATGAAGGGTCATTTGTTGGCTTGAAAAAAAAAGGAACCTTGTTGGTCATTTGTTTCTCGCGTTTTGATGAAGATAACCGATTTACCCGAACTCGATCTCCCCGTAATCACAAGTGTACCATGAGCATCTTCTTTCGTTTGATACTTGTATTTCGAGGCGTGAACTTTTTAATGCTGTAGGTCTATTAGAATTTTTTATCGCCGAAAAGGAAATGAGAATGATTTGACAACTGGTGCATGAGTGAACACTTGACATATTTACATGTGCTGTACAAAATAATTTTCCAAAAGGAAAATGACCGATGATCATAAATGAGATGCTTAGCTGGTTTTTGGGCCTCAACCTGGATGCAGATGATGACTGGAAATGTCTTTCACGCTTTCATTGCATCAAATTGATTCTGAGCAGTCTCCATCAATGGTGATAATTGCCAATTGACGAAATCTGTGAAATTTAATTTGTAAGATTAAATTCCAGCAGCTTCCCTTTTACTGTCAGAGATGCCATTGCATATGACATGAACCGTGTTCAAATTTCGCTTATATTTGTGAAGAGTGCGTTTTCGTGAGAAATTTATTGTTCGCAATTTTCTGTTCATAGCTGCTGTAGTCTCCGCACAAATTCTCATCAATAGGTGCATCATCATAAAATAAATACAATTGAAGCGAAGCGAACATTGCTGAGGATATTGTTTTTGCATTTTCTTCATCAAATGAAGAAGAAAAAAAAAATAGTTGTAAATCACAGAATTGATGTTCTGTCAAACTCCTGTGTGCAGCATGCTTTTGACCAACTTGAGGGAGTCATTCAGGCTCCTGGGTCTTCTCATGCTGAAAAGTCCCCTGGAGCTGAGCCTCAACTTCTTCTCCTTTCTTGGAAATGGCTCTGGAGCTGGCATACTGCCTTCAAAATGTCCTTCATGGCTGTGGTGTGAAGAGTGAGAAAGTTCTTTATGTGGTGCTTGAGTCAATATTATTCAAGACAGACCAACATTATAGGCAAAATAGTTCTGTATCTTTTCGCTGAAGTACAGAATGTTGAGTACAGTATTCAAGTTGTGGAACAGCAACTTATGCTAGAACCAGGTTTAAACTTCGTTTCAAAGAAATATCACAGGTGCGTTTTTGTTATGGCAACTTCTGATGAGGATCAGTAAATAAAAAAGTTAAGTACAGTACATTATTAAAATTCCCATAAAGTTGCCGTAGTTTTTTGAAAATTGAAGATGAAGTCCTTCACAACTGAGTTTTTTTTACAATTCCACGTACAGTACTTGTAGAAAATTGCAGTTCTCAGCAGAATAACTAATTATTTTAAAGCAAAAGCGCAGTAAAATAAAGTTTCTTTATGATCAATTCAATCTGATAATTCCAAGCACTGTGTAAGAAAATGCTCAGAAAAATCCTAAAGAATGTATTGCACTGGACACTACAGTACTTGCATTTTGCTGGAACAAGATCAATTCCGCATTTTTTCCAAGGAGTTTTGTGACATTAGTATTTGTTTTCATGGAATTTGACCAGCTGTATATGCCACAGTTAAGGAGAGAGAGAAAAGAAAGCATTCATGTGCAAATCAATGGTTTGTTCTACCATATCTTCAAAAGCATGAAATACCGCCACTGAATGGAGAGAATATGTACTGTACTGTAGTACCAACTAAATACTATACTTCTTATATTTATATCCTGGAATGAACTTTCCTTGTGACACCATACAACTTTAAATACAATAATAATTTATTTTAATAATATTAATTTATTTCAATTATGTATTTCAAATTTAAGGATAATAGGTGGACCGGCTGACCTGAAATTTGACCTGAATTCCTGGACTGGTAGATAGGGCTGAGTGATGCCAGCCCTGATGCTGCTGGTTGTGGTGGAGTAAGTGACAGGTGGAGGGAATTTTGGCGCAGGCGGCGGATGAACCACTCTACCACTAGACAGATCCTTTTTGCCACCAGCTTCTTTGGTTGAAGGGGGATCAACGATCCTCACTTTCTTGACAACACTACTTTGCCCTCTTCTTCTGAGAGCAGACTTGAGCCTCTTATTGTTATGGCACTGCTGCTTACTATGGGTGCCAAGCTTGTGTTTTTCTTTTGCTTCTGAGGCTGAAAAATCATCCTCAGTGGAGGATAAGGAGTCATCCTCAGCTTCCGTTTCTTCTCCAGCTGTTGTGAGACAGGAGAGAATCAAGTGAGATATTTATAAAGTACATTCCACTTCAGATTGGCATTTTTGTTTAAATTTCCATTTTCCTGCTTCTTTTCTGTGAAAGATAAGAACGTGAACATCGAAAAATTGGCTTTTGAGTTGCCGCATGAAAAATTGACATATTTTTAACAGCAATATACAGTACAGCTAGTGAATGTATATTACACAAGAATTGCTGCTCAAAATCCCCATCAGACCACTCAGTTCTATATTTTATAAATATGCTGATACTTTTGTGATCTTAGCTTACATATACAGTAGGCTTTTAGTTTATACCAGCGGTTTGGCCATAGAATAGGAATTGATATTAAAGAAGATCAATATTGTTGAAAAGAGAGTTGCAGCATTACTTTCCAAGCCATGTGGAGTGTGTTTGGTACAATAGAAGGCTGATCAATCCCAACAGGAATCAGCATTTTCTCTACCCCACTTACAAGGGCACTTGTTATTAAAATATTGTACTCAACCATTACAACTTTTCTTGGTTTTAGTCCAAGAAAAAAGAAATTGGTCAAAGCAAAAAAGGCGGATGTTCTCATTTTTACAGGCAACATATTTGGCACATTCTATTAAGAGAATAAGAGGCAGAAAAAGTGATGATTGCTGAGGACTGCTGCATGCTGGCAGCTTGAACAAGAAAGTACTGTGCCAATCTGTCTCCTTTCATCATCCCATTCCCCCCTTTTATATATTTATTCATTCACAGTAACTATATATATACTTTATACACTGAATGCCAAATGCGAACCTCCTGCCAAGTACTTCCTGATGATCCTGAAAGTGGAAACCTTGTTGCCTTTTGTCTGCTGCTGCTGCTGATGGTGCTTGTCTGCTGTTATTGCTCCAGCCTTCACCACATCTCCAGACTCATCCACTTGCATGCCAAGCATTCGAAACAGGGGCTGGTCCATCTGGCCACAGCAGCAGCCCCAGCCCAGTGTGGCCCAGGTCCAGATGGCATTGAGTGGGATGCTCAGTGGCCCAGCCACATACAACATGCCCACAATGACACCTGCCAAGTGGCTCTGCAAAGAGGCTTCAGGCACAAACAGGTGGAGCAGGGCAAACTCCAGGGTGACCAGACTCAGGGATGGATAAGGCAAGTGTTTGAGTAGCACCCCTTCCCTCCACTTGTCATGGGTGGCTGGACTGCACACCAACAGGATCTTGAGGGCAAACAGCACATCTGCATCGCATGGGAAAAATTCAAGGACCTTGAGGCATTCAAATTGCTTGTGTTGCTATGTCACTATTATTATTATAAAAATGTAAAAGGGCATACAATATGAACAACAATTGAGTCTGCACAACAGAGTCAGCCAATACAATAAGGTTGAGGCAGCAGTATACATACATTAGTGCTACAATTATTCATGGAAAACCCCTCTAGAGCATCAATGATCACCTGATTTACAATTAATTGGTTGCATTTTAGCATAAAGCAGCATAAGATAAAACAGTCACAATTAACTTCAAGAGCTGACTCATAAAAATGGCCAATGATGAGCAGCATGGGATTTATATGCGTTAAAAGTCTACTGTATTTACTTGAGTACCACAGACCCTTGAGTATGAGGTGCGCACAGGGGTTTTTCAGTTGGAAATTTAGGTAAAATCTTATACCCAAGTAAGATGCACACCCCAATTTTTAGTGAATCTAAAACCACAAAATTTAGAAAATAAATTCAGAAAAATTTGACTTTGAACGTGAATTTAAAAAATGGGATCAATTTTCAACTTTTTCAGTACAAAAAAGTTTTCTTGTTACGTTTGTTCAAAATTTCTTCATTATAATTAAGTATAATGCACACATAACTTCCTAAAACTTTTTTCAAAAATTTGTACCAACTTATGACACACACCCATTTTTTCTTCTGAAATTTGAGAAAAAAGGTGCACGTGGTACAGTACTCAAGTAAATACTGTAAGTACCTTATGTACTCATTTTTTAATGCAAAAGTCCATTGATCAAAGATCTGATACTATTGAGCATGCTTTGGATTTGATTCTATTGACTTCAAGTTCTGAAGGCTCTTTGAAATTATTCTCAATTTTTTTTTGTGAAGATGAGTTGTTGGTTCTTGTGAAAATGGAGGGTTCTGTATAGGGTTACCTCAAAATTGACTTATATTCTATTCTCTGTAAAATCTCAAATGCTAAATCTGCAAAAAACTAAATTCAACATTTTGTATATGTACTGTGCCTGAAAAGCCAATGGCACAGGCATATCTGGCCATTTCATCATGTAAGTAGTTGCTTGTGAACTCAGCCATGCCAATCTCAACTAGGTTGCAGATCCAGGCCAGTGACACAAGCAAGTAGAGAAAGTAGAGTGGATGCAGAGAGTGCTCCAGACATGCTGCAGTCCACACAAAAGACACCATGTTGCAAAAAAGATGGAGGAAGCCAGCATGTTCAAAGCTGCTGAGAAACAGACAAGCCACATCCCCATCATCCAAGACTCTTTCTGCACTCACACACATGTCCCAGGGGTCCTCATAGCCTGGGTAGATGGCCCTCCAGTGCAGCAGGGTCTTTAAAGTATGCACCAAATACAAAGCAATGATGATGAGTTTTTTAAAGTAAAATAAATTACTGTGCATCATTCAAGATCCCTAGCATGCAAAAAGAAAACACTCATGGGCCTGTTGGTGCCTTAAAACCCAATTAATTGATGGTTCACTTGGAAATGTTCTATCCCTGAGGTACAATAAGTTCCTCATCTGAAGAGTTTGTTAACAAACAACATATTAATTCTACTGAACACTACTTTTACAAACCATGAAGATGGCCAAGCAGATTGCCATTGGAGGCACATGCTTCATTCTATCAAACCCAGGATACATAAGGAAGTCAATCAACAGTAAAAACAAGCCTGAGAACCCCAGACTGGGGTTCTCTGTGAAGGACATTGTGAAGGTCCTTCAGTGTGAAGGATAACTAGGACTAACAGGGTTAATATGTCCTTAATTCTGAAAACTGTGAGCTTTTGTCCCATGTTTTGTTCACTGATGATTATTTTTGGAGTTAGGTGAAGGTCAACACTGTTTTTAGCAGCTATATTTTGTTCTGAGTTTTCTCAATCAGTTCATTCAGTTGTATATGCAGGCTAACTGCTTGTGGGAGACAAATTATTCTGTGCTGGAATTCAATAGCAAAAAACTGATGCACATACAAATATAGCAAAGTGAGATGAAGTTGGTTCAAGTTAATTTCAATTGTTGTATATTCTAAATATGGACACATGTGAATTGATTCTTTAAAAAGCCAGTAAATTAGAAAATGTATAATTTATTGATGTCAACACTAATGTGGCTTCTTTGGCACCATCAATTGGGTGCTTCACACAAACTCTAAAGCATGAAAAGGATTTCTGGATGGTTTCAGTGACATACTGACTTTTTACTGAGATCATCCATCTTAAGGCAGCAGTTCAAAATATATAGTTAACTCACTTTTGGTGGCACAATTCAGCAAAGGTATTGTAGTAGTGCTCTGCTGTCTATAAAAGAGAAAAACGCATATACTGTACATGTATACAGTCAGTGATCAATTCACAAATGAGAAGAGGCCATATTTTGCCAGGGATGGCATACATAAAAAAGACTGGGAAGCAAAAGGGTCTGACAATATAGAGTTGCTGCATTGTTCTCAGCAAACAATCACCCGGTAATCATGGAAACACAGACACATACTCTCAAGCCCTCATTGATGGGGAGCCACAGTAATCAGCTCTTCCCTATTCAAGTGTCACTCAATCATCTTTATAGAAAACAAAACTGTTCACACACACACACTCAGTCCTTTTTTTCTACCACATCATCCAGGAAGCTGTCAATCAATCAATCAATCAGCAAATTGTCTCACTGAGAGACACCCTTTGTACACCATTGGGTGCCTGTTTGGCCAAGTAGGTCTCTGTTGCTGATGCAAGGTCACCCTCACTGCTTTCTTGTGTGGCTTCTGCTTTGGGGCCCTCTCCAGGCTTGGGACTTAAATTCCAGCTCCAGAAGGTCTGGTCCAGTCCAAATGTCTCAGAGTCCTCCACAGTCTCTGGTAAGTCTTTGTTGAGTGTCTCTGGCAAGAAGGCTGCAAACACCACCCCCACCATAGACATGATGCCAAATGTGACATAGGGGATTGAGTAGTGGTACACTTCTCCCTGGAAATTGAAAAAAATTATTATGCTGCAATGCACGTACTAAAATTGAATGCAACATATAACATGGTTCCCAAAATTCCACCAGGGGTACTTATCAAAATTGAAAAGGTAAAGCAAAGTGAAGGTTTGGGGTGGATAAATATATTAATTGGAAAAATTTCCAAATTTCAAAGAATCAATCCAAACACAGCAAAGTACTGCAAAATTTTTTTATCCTGCAGAATAGCTGTTTGATCATTAGCATTTTTTCCCACAAAATTGAAAAAGTTTGGACATATCTTAATGAAACCCTCCTCCTTCATACATCCAAATCATTACACAGGGATAACTCCAATTTTGTATTATGTAAATTCTCCATCTGTATTTAAACTTCTTCAGCCCTATTCCACTCCACATTAAGTTTTTGGATGGCATGCTGCCATAACTTTTATGTACTAAAAAACAGATCCTTATTCCAGCTTCAAGCTAAATGTATATGATCTTTTTAATGCAGCACAAAGGTATAGTATAGATAGACTTTCAAACTAACTTCAGTAAAAATTGGAGTGAGGAACATTTTCAAATCAATGTGGCAAAAGTAAAATAATGCTTTTGGGCACTTTTTGTGGGATTAAAAAACATAAACAAGGCCACATTTATTTTTTTTAGATAATAATAATTTTTGAATGGGTACCCATCAAAATACACACACACACACATAAATACACTTGCACAAATGCCGGCACTCACCAGAAATACCAGTTGTGGCACCCCAGTGTTGACAGCAGCCCCCACTAGAGACATGAAGCCAAGTCCAGTGGACCTCAGCACAGTGGGGAAGATTTCGCAGCCCTGTTGGTAGATGAGC